ATGTATATGTATGTATATATATAAAAAACAGTATTTTTCTTAACTTGTCCCTGGAGATCTTTTGTCCCACATTAGGATCTCACTTACTCCAGAACCAGTTCAAGAAGACAGCAAATAGCTTCCTTCTTGTATATGCGGCAGCACATTTAATAGGACTCTATTTTATGATTTATACATTTTTTTCTGAGATTCCTCAATGTTGGCTAATGAAACCCAGAGAGCTGGAACAGGAGTTGGAGAGCAGGCATGGATGGGTTTTTAGTTAGTCTGGCTTAATTTCAAGAACAAATATTAGAAGTTTCCAGAAAGAAGGGATGGATTTATCAAAATAGCCTTGTTTGTTTGTTTGTTCAAAATAACTGAGTTTTACTAAATACTAAGCAGTAAATTTGAAATTTTCTTGCCCAAAAATCTTTAAAAATGAGTAAAGCTTGGAGCTGGCTAGGTTTTTTCTGAGGCAAACTGAGGACTGTAATTGGCATACCTTAATAGCAGAGGTTCCACCTCCACTCAGAATGAATGTGTAGTTTGTGGAAGAGTATTAGATGCACCTGAGAATGCTTATTTTCTACTAAGAGCTCTTCATTCAGGTCATTTTTCAATTATCATCACCAATTTCTGTTCATTGATGAATAGCTATATCAAAAGCATTCTCTATTTTCAGAGAGGAAATGGACACTTCTTATGGCTAGCAATCCAAAAATCCTTGTTTTGAAATAGTTGAAAATTGGCAAGTACTCTAGAAGTATGAAATAAAACAGTGACTTACAAATGGTCTATTAATAAAAATTAAAAAAAAACATTTTTTTATCTGTACTTTTCGAATAAGAGTGGTGATTTACATTTGCTTCTTTCATGATAAGGAAACGTCTCTAAAGTAGTAAGAAAAATTCCTGTTGGCATTGTATTCTACAGTAGTTTTTCCCTGAGTAATACTCTTCATCAAAATAAAATGATGTTCCTCATTAGGGTATTTGTGGTGGACACATTACAAATATAATGAACTAAGAAGAGCTAATTTCAAGTTTGTGTCAAATGGAATGTCTCCTTTAATGTGGAAAGCCATAAGCTTTACAATTGCAAACATTCAACTAATAGCTTTTCTATCAAGAAAATTGGTTCTGAAATTCCTTCAGTAACCACTAATCTTCTTTAACTGTGGAGAAAATATTCAGTTTGACCCAATTTTAATGTAACCTGAATATTATAGGCTGATTTTTTATTACATCCTGGTATTTTTTTCTCACTTGTCTTATTGACATAATGTATTTCATATAATGTGTACCTTCAATGTTAATATTTTTATATTTATATATTTTTCTTCTTAGGCATTAGCAATGGGAATGATGACAGAGTACTATCATTATATCTTTACCACTCTGGTAAGTAATTTATAAAATATAAAGAAGGCACTCTAAATCTTTTTATTATGACTTTCTAAGATGAAAAATGGGTTTTTGAGTGAGAAGAAATAAATGATTGGCACTTTTGTAGTTATACTATATATTATTTTGATCATCACAAAGAACAATAACTCTTGGTGGGAAGCTGATGATTTTGAAATAATATCATTTCAGATATAAATTTAAAATATTGTTTTATTTTTGTATTTCTTTAGAGGACTTTCAGAACATAATGGATTTTAAAATTAGTTTGCTGAGAAATCAATGTTTTAGAAAAGCACAAATTCTTATGCTGTTAGCTCTATTCACTTTATAAAAATCAGGTAGATTGAAGCTGCTCTTTTAGTAGATTAAATTTACTATCCTGTTTTTGCCTATATTAGTTGGATTTTTAAAAAGTCAGCATAATTTATTTTACAATTAGCAAATCGAGTGTTACCTATCACACTTTTTTCCTTAATATGCATGAAAATCTGACCTCACTATTTTACCAAACCTACTTTTAGCTCTATTTCTTTATCAATTCATATACTGATTTTTCATTATTAAAACAATAAAATTCAAGTAGGTTAATTTGAAGAACTATTTATGAATCCAGCAGCAACCCATCTAGTAAGTACAGAGGAGTTCCTAGTTGCTGTATGAAAACGGAAAGTTTTTAAAGGCAGAGAGGGGATGGAAAAAGGAAGTCATAAATGAAAAAAAGGATTACTTCAGGTAAAGTCAACTCCCATTAGGTGACAAAAGGGTATATTTAGGCAGATTACCTCACTGGTGTTGACCAGGAAATTACACACTGAGCAGTTAAGATTACATTCCTGGGGAAGGTTGAAACTGCAATTAGGTGAGATATTAAGCCTTGGTTTGGTGACATGAGCTTTGCACAGTGACTCCATTTGGGGCCTCTTGTTTCTTTTTAACATCTTTCTCTGTGAAATAGCTGTATGTCTGTGTCACTAATTTTTTTCTTGCTCATCCTCCAAAAATGAGAATATTTCCAAGTTTGGCCTTTGTCCTATTTTCTTTGATTATTATCTTTAGAAATGATATGCATTTAGTGTTTTAACTATTATGTTTTCACAAATAAAATATAATGTCCATCTGTAACATTCCTGAGCTGTTACATATTGAAACATTGCAGAACAATTCTAACTGTGGCGGCATTAAGCAAATTATTTAAAACGTAATGTCTTTTCCTCTAAATTGACCTCTCTTCTGATTTCCTTCAAAACTTCCATTGTCTCTGACTCCTCTATCACTAATAAAATTCTACTGATTTTTCCTCCATAGTGCTTCTAGCATACATCTCTGTCTCCACAATTACCAGTCCAACCAATGTTTTCTCTCTTTTAACTCAAAAGTCTCCCAGTTGATCTCCTTGCTATTAGGAGAGTTGAAGCCACCAAATCAAATTACTAAAATTTAGTTGATCACAATAGCTTTCTGTATTAAATCTCTCTTCCAGTAGAGCTTCTTCCAGCAGTAGGTTGTCTTGTACTGATAAATACTAAGATTGACTCTGCTGTACTATCTCTATATCAGTTGCCATCTGGGAGACTTTTTTGTAGCCTATAAGAAATTTAGTGATAGGCTGGTGGAGAGGGAATGGAAGCCTACACTCATTAGCAAATTTTATTTTAATGCTGCTGCAACTCATTTCTACCATGATCATAAAATTGTAGAGAAATCAAAAGTACCTCTTAATAAGGAAAAAATGAAAAAATCTAGTTTACGATGTATAGAACTCATTAGCTTGTAATTGAAGACCTTTTTAAATTTGATTCTAACCTAATTTTTCTAGTTGTTTGTTCTTTTGCTGCTATTTTTCTTCATCAATTCTCTTTTATAGTCAAACTGATCTACATCAGTCTCCTGAATAGATTTGATGTTTTCTAGATTTTGCCTCTACTGACACTTTGAATGGCCTCCTTTTTCCTTTTGCCTATCAAAAGTCTGGCCATTCTCTGATGGCAGTTCAAATTCCATCTGCTTTATAAAGTTGTTTCTGACTATAAAAATTGAAATTCATCTGTCTCGTTTCTTACTCCTTGCTGACTTCTACAGTTTTACCCCTTAGCATATATTGTAATACATTATTTATTTACTCCTTGAATATATATATTCATATATATAAATATATGTTCATATATATTCATATATATATAATCTCCTTGGCTAGATTGCAAACACTGAAAAATAAAAACCTAAAGATCCTTTATATTTTTTACAGTATAGAGCACAGATCAGGCCAACGTCAGCTTCTCTCCACAGAATTTTATACCCATTATCTAGCCCGTATAACTGGATGAGTCCAAGGCAAGCTGTGCACAGTACCAAGGGCATTAATCTTTCCCCGGTTCTCATGTTGTCTCAGATCAGAGAGAGGGCCAAAGCCCCACACATTGCATGTTCTTAGTGACATCCAGCTCCCCTGATGGCTTTGGTCTCCTGTCTCCTGGAAAAACCAAAGGGCAAAGCCAGAGCACTATGGACTGAAAAAGGCAACCAAAATCTAAAGGATTCCTTATGGCGAAGTTGCTGGATATGGTATAAGACAAAAGGACTGCAAAGGTTCTGCAACCAAAAAAGCCAGTCTTGTTAACTTTGTTTCTCAGCTTTGATAAAATTTTCTTTAGTTAGAAGCCATATTTTATTACCTGTTTCTTAAAAAAAAAAAAAAAAAAAGACAAAACAAAACATAAAAATGGCAATTACCAACCAAGGAAGCAGGGCACAGAAAAAAGAGCTTTAATTAGTTACAAGTAAAATATTAATGTTTAACATTTAAGGGTAAGCTATCCTTAACATGGAGAAGAAAGCTTATACAGGTTATAGATAAGCTTCTCGTTCCATTGGTGGAATTAGAATATGATATATATACATATGCATACATGTTTGTGTAAAGTATGTATATTTGCATTGGCAAAGAGTGAGAAACGTCCATTTGAATCTGGGTGATTTGTAATGTTTAAAGTCACCTGAGACACAATGGTGTTAACCATCATAAAGGGAAGCAAGAATAAATGACTATCTCAATTATGCATGCCTGTAAATATACTGTGTTGATAATAACACACAAAAAATTTGTGTCTTTCAGGACCTCTTTGCTCTTGATGTAGAGCCCTACCGATACAGTGGTGTTAACATGACAGGGTTCAGAATATTAAATACTGAAAATACACAAGTCTCCTCCATCATTGAAAAGTGGTCTATGGAACGATTACAGGCACCTCCAAAACCCGATTCAGGTTTGCTGGATGGATTTATGACGGTATGAATACCCACTTAAAGATGAGTTTATGTTTCTGAGTAATGTTTCATAAATTATTAAATCCTCTGGATCCAAACTTTGGTTTAATTGTTTGACTTTAAAGGCACGATATCAGAATTACTATTACAAATTAGTATTTTAACAATTTTCTAAATCAGTTTTTATTGCAAATTTCAACTTTCATTTAAGTATCTCAAAGCATTAAAATTATTGTTAAAAATACTACAATGTAAGGTTTTCTCTGAAATCAATTAGTACCATATTTAGGATAAATTAGAGACTAAAAATAATACATTACCTAATAGTTATTTTTCTGATTTGAACTGCCAGTATATGATTACTCTTCAACATGTTGGTTTCGGATATTTGATATCTTATATGACACAAAAAAATCTCTCAAGCTTATTCACTCTTTAAAGCTAAGACTAACCAATAATCACATCTGTCATTTTTAAGTCAGTTTAAATTTATGAACAGGATTAATGCAGAAACTGTAAAAGAAGAGTATATTCTCATATAACTTTAGTTGTTTATACCAGTGCTGCTAATGAATATCTAATACAAAGCACATATATAATTTAAAATTTTCTAATACCTATGTTAAAAAACATACACACAAAACAGGTAAAGATCAATATTATTAATTTTATTTAACCCATTATATAAAATATGCTATTATTTAAAAATTATAACAGATATTTGCATTTTTTCCTACTAAGTCTTTGAAAGTTATTATGTATTTGACACCACACATATTAATTCAAACTAGTCACGTTTGAAGTGCTCAATATCCAAATGTAGCTACTGACTACCTCATAAGACTGGGTAGATTTAAGCTATATTATTTAAGCAAATTATAAAAGCCCAATGTATTCTCATTAAATCTACTTTCTATAGACCAAATTATTGCCACAATTTAGGAAAGAGCTCAGCACTTTGGCAATATTTACATTTCTTGGGTCATTACCACCAGCTTTTAGTAGGTATCAGTCTAAATGGAAACTTTATAAGCATAAACATACTCTATTCTGATGTGTGGAAAAACTTTTTCTAATATGATTTAATTTTTTTCATTGATTGCTTCAGTGGGGCTTCAGATATGTTTTTAATGTTGTAGCAAAATAAAGAGAAATTAAAATGTTTTTCCCTTAGAAAATTTAGTAATACAAATTACTCAATTTGTATTACTCAATTTGTTTCACAGTCTAGATAGATTGTGAAAAAATCATGGTTACCCTCAAGCAACCAACCTTCCGATGGACAAAAGAGATTTGTTTTCTTCTAGTGAGAAAAAATAACTTACTAGAATTCGAAAATCTTATGTTCACATTAATTTTTAAAGAAATAATATAAGGGGAATTTTATTATTTTGCATAAAAAGAGAGGGTTGACTAGTTCTAGTGTTTTGGTCTTAACCTGAGATATATTTAAGAAACTTTTTTGGGAGAAAAATATGTAAATAATTTAAAAAAGAAGAGATTTTTCCTCCAAAGTGCATCCAAGTTAAAAAAAAAATAATATGCAACCTAGAAAAAAATTACAAATATTATATTTTATTTCTAGTTTGAAGATAGTGAATCAAACTTTTGGAACTTAATGTCATTTTTAAACATTAAAATATATACTATCCTTTATATTATTGTTTTAATTATGTGTATATATTTTTCCACATATGCTTTCTAGCTCTCTTTACCATTCCTTAATTTCAGGATGGTTATTTTATCATTTGTTATTCAAAATTATTATTGGATGGTTTTAGGAAAAGTAAATCAATAGGCATCATGACAGTCTTAACAATGTTGTACTCTTAAGACTTCACTGATGTGTCCAAGGATTGGTGAGCCCCTGTGTATATATAAATCACAAAAATTATCCAACTTTACTTAGCTACTCTTGGTATTTCTGTATGATTCTCTGACTGTCTACTTGTCATCCCCTGAAACAAAGTACTCTAACTCTGGTAACTTATAGAGATGGTTGAAAGATAGATAAATGAAAAAGAAGGTATATTAATTTCTTATCCAGGTAGGTAGGAGCTCTTGGAGAAAACTAACCTAAGAAGGCAGGATAAGAGGACAGTGTATTTGGAGGAATATAGGTTTGGGTTCTTTCTGGTCATTAATCTATTCCTCCCTAACTCTGCCCTTCTTCTAAACTAGCATATGATTTAGTGTGAGTGGGTAAGTGATAGAATAAAAATGCACTGATGAGAAAATGAGAAAATGAGCCTATTTGTTGAAAATTCTGAGCATTGTGTATAGATCATGAATAATGTTTTTTAACTAAAAATTTATACCAGCTATTTATTTTATTATATTTATAGCTAGAGCATGGAACACAAAATATTTTGGAAGGAACCATAAAGTTTTCCGTTAAAATAAAAATCTTTTCCAAAATGGATACAGATAATTTTTTTTTATATAATTTACCTTTTGGAAAATTAATATTACTTTTTAAAATCTTTTCAGTATATAATATTATATAATGATATAAAAGATCAGATGTAAAATATTTTTATTATATAACATTAATTTTAATTATGAAATAGTGCATTATTATTATAAACATAAAACCAACATAAAATCTGTATAAAAATGTTGGCATACTTGTGCCTTACATGAGCATTCTTTTTCTTTTCTATTTAATATTATATTGTAATAATTTTTCCTCATCATTAAATATTTAGGAAAAGACATTAATGGGCTATTTCTAACGTGAATGGCATCAGGAAATTAAGAGGATTCTAGTTAGAAAAAGAAGACAATTATTAGCCTGGCATTGTGGTGTTGGCAACATTCCCTTCAGTCAATTCATGAGATCCATGTTTATAGATATCTTGTTCTTTTCTTTCCCTGTGGTCCCATTAAAAAAAAAAGAAATTATCAGTGAAGTTCCTAGTGTTTGCAAGACCCATTATTATCAGTATCATAGTCATTTGTCACTATATGAGATCTTAATGCTTAACTTTCACATTCTTTTTTCGTGTTTGCGCTATAAAAGGAAATGATGAATTGGATCATAAGAAATTTTCTGGTTGGGTTAGCACCCTCATCAACCCCTAGGTTAAGCGTTTATCAGCTATATGACTACTGAATACAAGATCATTTCTCCTGTAGTTGTAGTTTCTTCTATGGTCATACTAAAAATATTAATGTTAGTATCTCAGTAAAATTTTAATATTCATCTGATATAAATCCAACCAAAGTACCAAGTCACACAGTACATCCAAATCTGATCTAGTCAAGAAAAAAGAAAAAAAGGAAGCTCAACTCTCTTCCTTCACACATAAGGTGTTTTTTTTCTTTTCTTTCCTTTTTTAATTTACTCATGTATCACTTTTCTTACATTTTCCCTCATGCCCACACATTACCAATCAGTTAATGCTCTAAACTCCTTCCTTTATTATAAAATCCTTCCTCTACTGTGCATTCTCTATTAAGTATTCACATATATCCATGCTCCTGGGGTGTGGAAATACTGTCCTTTGCATGGTCAGATGACATTTCTCCCAGTTTTCTGAACAGACATCTGCCTTCTCCAAGAACAGTTACTGTTGGGTGGGAATTCACTTATTTGAATCCATCAATCTTGACGATAATTGTATTAATATTGATGTATGGAGTTTGCAGTAATCTCAATGTAAGAGAATGAAATCAAGTAAAAACACCTCAAGGTAAATTTTAAACGGTCTAGCTATATCCTAGAAATCCTTCCCAGTGCTCCAATTATGCCTATGCATATTAATACTAATGTACTCATAATCCATCCAGTAGCTTAAAAATACCAGTTTTTTTCTTATGTTGATATAGAATACCACACATATTCCCTGATAATGTAAATTTGCAACACAAATCAATAATGCCTGGTCATTGGCTCTATCATTTGGATTACTATAAAGAGATTATTGTTTTGGAAATTTAAACTCTGTTTACCAACTGCTCTCTCCATTTCATTTTTTTCTTCTCCACATTCAACAACTGTCAGACACTTTCAAATCTACTGTATCGATATCTTTTTTTAACTACACTCTTTTTTTCACCCCCAGAGTTATTCATAAGTTAAGGACCCAGTGCTTTCTACCCTGACTTGGCAATAATCTTCTCACTGATCTTACCAGAATATTGCTTATGGCTCCTCATCATTTACCAAATGAATTTTAAACTCATTTGACAAGCCTGCAAAACCATCCATGATCTGGCTTCTGCTACTTGTCCAGCCTCATATTTGCCTACTCCCTGCTCCACCAAGCCACCCATCTCACCTTTGGTGTGTCAGCAGTGCTGATGCACCTCCTCATTTTAGCATAGGGTGTTCCTGTTGTCTAAACCATCTACCCCTATTAGAATGCATGGCATATTCCTGCTCGTGCTCTAATTTTCAAGTCATCTGTTAACCTTTTCTGTAAATTTGCTCTGTATCCTCCACACATTTTACTTGAGCGCTCCTTCATTAATGCACTTTATGTTTAACCCCATGCTGAAATGGAACTCTGGTACTTTTGTTTTCATATCCCTTTTGCAATAGACTATACGATCTTCCAAGGCAAGAACTAGGTTTCATCATCCTTGAAGCCCCTCTACCTAGATCAGTGCCTGGTGCAAAGCAGGTGCTCATGATGAAAAAGAGAATGCCTGTTTAAAAAAATGTGTGTGTTAATTTATTTTAATCATATTACATCTGTATTCTAATCACTAGGCCTTCTCATTTCCCTAGATATATTCTGGAGAGCATTTTTATTTACCTACTTGAACTTTATTATCAAGATACCTAATCATTTAGAAAAATGCAATTAGACTTGTTTCAATTATTTGTTAGAAAAATACTTTAAACAGCAAAAGCACAGAAACACTTTTGATTAGTGAAATTTTAGTGAGAAGTGTAGTTCCATTATCTTTTTGAAAAAAAGGAGAATATTTATGAGAGGTGAGTCTTTCTGTGTTTAAATATCACTGTCCTCCTAAGAATTATTATTATTTTTTAACAACAGACCATGGCCCAGG